GAGGCTCCGGTGAATCAATGCGGTAAAACCACTTCTTGTGGAACGTACGAAAGTTCCTTTGTCAGGGATAATGAAGGACGGACCAAAATACACTTTTCTCCTTTACGTTCGCGTAAAGCTTGCGTTCGCTCCGTTCGAAGTACGCGTTGCTCTCTCCAACTTTGTAAAGCTCTCTCCAACTTTCCAATCCCCGACGATAGAAAAAAAAAAAAAAAGAAGAAGCCCGTTTTTTCCCCACAAATTCTTTTTAATCCTTCAATCTACCATCAATATTAAATTACGCGACGTACGTATGAAACATCTTCGTTCCGTATCGCGGTATTAATGTATCATGTTATATCATAAAACTCATTCTTCCTCTTTGCGCTTCCTCGCTCTTTTTATTTTCCCTTATTTCATTAATTTATTTCGAATTTATCGGATTTTTTAAACGCGCTTTAATTAATTTGGGAACGCGACAATTCCGCCGGGGGGAAATTCCTCCCGGCGTGCCTGTTGCAACGGAAACTGATGATAGCGGTCTGAGGCAAGCTTGAAATACTTCATTTATATCAATTATTTCCGGTTTCATCCATCACGTTTCTAGTCTCTCGGATTTATTCTCACTTTATCGCCGTACTTACTCTCCTTCTCTTTCCCGGATGCAATCACGGGATACTTAACATCGCGCGATCCTATGTAACTTCAATTATAATTAATTTAGAAGATATTTGTGAACGCGCGGTACACATTGACATTGCTAATTGTTTAAATTATTATTACGTTAGAGTTCGATGTATCCGCATTTAAGAAGCGAGAAGATTAAAAATATTTATCGAAAGCGTTTGCAGCTTGTGTTGAATAGAAAGACTTCCGGTTCGGCCAGAATTTTTATGTCAGCCAGCTCATGACGCGAGCTTATGACGCTATAAAGAGAGGCGTTCCCTTTCTTTTTTATTACACGCGCAATATATACCTCGCGCGCATTCGCGGCAATAAATTCCGATGTTACTTCCAAGCCGGACGAAAACATCCCTCCCTTCGATATGAATCTTGGAGGAAACTCACGTCGACGGTTGATGAAGATGCATCCTCGAATGACGTCGTTGCATCGTGCACATTCGCGTCGCACTCCTCACGTTCTCTTACCGAAATCGTTACTATTTCTCTCTTTCTTTCTCTCCCTCTTTCCTATCCGTTTATCTTTTAACTGGCGCCAAGTTGGACCCATCGTCGCGTCTGGGTCGTATCCAATTTTCAGGAATCGTAACTTCTCGTCGTTGCAACTGCAGCGTTAATGTGTGATCGTCCAAGTTCAACAAATATGACTACTTTTAGAAAATAAAATACTTTGCATCACGGAAATAAAACTTCTTTCTTCGAGAATAAAGTTATAAATATCATGAATTCCTATGTATGTTAAATAATAATTTCTATTTACTCAGAATTAAATTTGAGATTGCGAATATCAAATATTTGAAATGAGAATTTAGAATACTTATACTTATTGATATCGTTTCCTTATAAACTTCACCCTCGCACTCAAATTAATGTAATAAAACTTGAAGCTAACGGCGAGATCAGGAGAGAAACGGGGAGGTGAACTTCTTTGTTATAATCACCTGGCGTGAAAAGATCGTTCGGTAGGGGAGGATTTGAGAGAGACAGTTAGAATATTGGAGGGTGCGAAGGCAGCGGCAATTATCGAGCGCGTCATTGTAATTGCATCGACGGTTTGGAGAGAGTAGAGATTAGATTCGGTGTTCAGGAACTGGTGGTTTCCTCATTTTTACCCCTCCCCCCTTCTCTCTCTCTCTCTCTCTCTCTCTCTCTCTCTCTCTCTCTCTCTCTATCTATCTATCTCTATCTCTATCTCTCTATCTTTCACAGTCTAGATTCAGACGCTAATTGGTAGGTCACCAGCGAATATTAATTATCATTCGATTGCAGAACGTGCAGTGTGCCATTACGTCCTATGAGATATCGCAACCCCGTGTCGTTCGATAAGCCACAGCCGATTTCCCGCATGAGTTTCTATGCAAATGGCAGACCGAACACGCCGAACGCTCGCCAAAAACCATCGCGAGAAACCTTTTTAAACTTCCATTCTCTTGGATATAAAATATATGCGCACGTACGCACGTATATACACGTTCGTTTCCGTTCAAAAAGATTTGCGTAAAAAGTTTCTTCGAGCACTCAGTGCACGACAGTGTTTTCCACATTTCCACACTGTTCCTAAATGTCTTTTATATTTTCAGAAAAAAACGTTCCATTTCAAGATGTTTGCGGCATTCATTTTACGGCCTAAATTTATGAATCTTTTATGTATAAAATCATATTTAAAATTCAATTCTGTCCCGCGGTTCGTGACTCACGCAAAGTGGATTTTAATCTCTCTCTCTGCCATTTTCCGTTTCATCTTCATATTTTATGCGTGTTTACGCGAATCATGTTTATTGTTTCATGTTCCCTCGGCACGAGTTACATAATGTCATTTCGCTTCAACGATCGATAACGTAAATTTGGCGTAAATTTTGCGCAGGCCGGGGTATATGCGTAAATGCCATGCACGGGGGTTAATCGCGCGAATTTGTTTGTCGCATACGCACGTGCGTAACGCACGTTACGAGGAGGAACGTTGCGCGATTTGGCTCGCGAGCGCAAACTTGGTAATTTCACCAATCCTCCCGTCAATCCCGTCGTGGCCGTGGAATTAACGAGCGATTTGCCCGCACTGATATTACCGCACGTTCCACGTAGCCGAGAAAGAGAGAAGGGCAAAAATATAAAATGCATCGTGCACACGTGTGATAAAACCAAATCGCGCGATAAAACCAAATTTTACTCGCTCCCGCGCGCATTTGTCATCGGAAAACTTTATTGCTTCGCAACGGCAATTTAATCTCGCAAGGTAACTCTACGCAACGATACGTTCTTCTCATGATGCGAATTTCATCCACGTGTTATATAAATTATCTGTAAAGTTGAGAAAGTTTATTTTTTTTTTTTTTTTTTTTTTTTTTTAAAGTTAACTCGTTATTGTTATCTACCTAAAAAAGAATGACTCGTTACTTTTTCCGTGATTGTTTTAACATCAAAACAAGAGCGGATTAAATAAAAGATTTATTTTCTAATATTTTTTGTTAAACTGTTAATAAAGATAATAAAACGTTTTATCTTAAATTTGCAAGATTCGCAAAAAATTAAGAAGACTTTAAAATGCTCGAAATGCAAGTAAAAAGATTGTGGTTTTCATTAAATTTATACACATTAATGCGTATCTCATATTAGCGCTCATTTTAATGATCAAATTTATATGGATTTTAAGCGATTATCAGAATTATATATCGCTTGATTTTCGCATATGCCTCTTATTAAATCGAATATATGGCAATCCACATGAAATCGAATCTAGACCGGAATGCAGTAATTATTAGAGCATTCCGATTTGCTATTTAGGCTTGATTGCTATTTAGGTTTGATGTAGCTACATCTTGTTCGGTGTAACGAGAAGCGGAAAGGAAAACTGATATTCGCGATGGAAGCAATAAAAATATACGGTTGCCGTGTAATACGTTCGTATATGGTAATATCGGGAAATTCAATTTTCTGAGGTAGATCGTGAAACTCCATGGCACAAAATCAATCTCTGTGCGCGGAGAGGTATTTTAAAAAGCCTCCTCTCTATTGTCAATCACGCAAAGTAAAATAATGCTCGTATATATTAGTGAGAGTCAATAGCCCTCTCGACAAATTGCAAACGCATTCTATTTGATCAGGCCGATGCGATGCTCGTTGAAAGCACACCAACACCGTTTGCCGAAAAAAGAAAACTCGCCCGCCCGAAACTAGGCAAATAGTTTCGATAAACTAAAATTACGTTAATTAATGCTACTTCAGAAGACAAACACAACAGCAGGGAAAATTTATAAGCATAAATTTTAAAGCACAATTTTTCTTGCAACCTTCGATCGATATCGCGCGATATTCTATGTTTAACTTTTTTTTAACCATTGTTAGATAAATGCACGTTGTAAAAAGCAAAATTTGTGAGGAGTACCTTTTATGTATTTTAATATTTTATGTACATCTGTTATATAAATTTTTTTTATGTTTCATATGTTCTCTTCTTTTTAATAGCGATGCGCGTTTACAGTAAAAAAACTACGATGCATTTGCCAATTGAAATATTCTGCTGCGAAATATCGCTGCAATTATGCGAGTACAATGTTCAAACGATGAGTTTGCCTTCTTTTCATCTGCGCTTTTTGCAGATACGTCCTCATTACAAATGTCCGATATCGACCGCGCCCGTTACGGAATTTCTTTTTACGAGATGGTTGGTTCTGAAAGGCGACGGAATGAATTCATCGCGCGGATGCAAAGAGTGAAAACGGGATCAGCTCTTTTTGCTTTCTTTCACATTAGCTTATTCGTACTCCTTTCCCGAATGAATAGGTCTTGAATACGCCAATGTATTCACGATAATAAGCAATGCTAGCTGTCATCACATTTGGTCCGGAAAATTTCCTTCGAAAAACGAAATAATTCGCAATAATTTCGTGCCTATAAACAAATGTTTCCATCTTCGTGGTATATTCTTAAATATACATTATATCATAATTGTAACAAATTATTAAAAAAAAATTTATATTTATAAATGAATTCCTATTTTTTATTATTAAATATAATGTAAATATAATGTAAAAATTATTTTACATTATCTAATTATTAAATATGTATTATATTATCATACATATTTTTATATAGTACAGTAATTCATTACAATTAAAATTTTTAATATCTTAATTAGTAATTTATATCATATTTTATTCCATACATTTCGGTGTGCTCATTAAAGAAAAAAATATTTCCGATAAATTTTCCATTTTGGCATAGGTAATTACTAATTAGCTTAAACGAACTTACCTCATATATTTATGAATTTAAGGCTTATGAATCATATAAACACAAAAGAATATGGATGAAATAAATAAACAAAATTGTTACTTTTTTAGGTGCTCCTGAAGGTAAATTGTGGGGCAATATACCAGGTGGACCACTGCCACCGGAGCAACCGCCGCCACCTCCGACGACGACTACGACGACGACGACAACGTACAGGCCTTGGAGGACAAGACCCACTAGGCCCAATCACTATCCAGACGACGGCAGACCTCGGCAGCCGGCTCGTTATCCTCAGAAACCCGATTATCGGCCGCACAAACCCCATCGGCATCACACGACGTGGTCGACGACGACGACAACGACGACGATGAGGCCCACGCCGAGATTCAGGCATCGATGGACTCCGCCACAGCAGGACGATGTGCCTGACAAATGCGACACGAGCTACGACGCCATCAGCATCATCCGCAGAGAGGTCTTCGTTTTCAAAGGACGAGTAAGCAACAATGAAATTTAAAAAGAAGGAAGAAATGCAAGGATGGAGAAAGTTAGAACCTTTTTATAGGAATAGGCTTGATGAATCTTAGAATATGATGCTGAACTTTTTAGGCAATTATTTCGCTTCATTGAAGAAAAAATCTTGATAGTTATTTTCAAAAAACAAAAAATAAACGTTCAGTATTTTATATCTTTAGTTTTTCAATTACCAAACGTATAATAAAATTATTCGTGAAATAAAAAAATATGTACCATCGTATTAAAGAAATTTTTTTATCCGTTATTTCAGTACCTATGGCGAATAGGAGATCAGGGTATCTATGAAGGATATCCAGCGGAGATCACCAGGTTATTTAATCTGCCAAGGAACATCGATCATGTGGACGCTGTGTACGAGCGACCGGATAAGAAAATAGTTTTCTTCATCGATCGCGAGTACTACGTCTTTGACGCCAATCATCTAGTGCCGGGTTATCCGAAACCGCTCACAAATCTGGGATTGCCATCTTCCTTAGAAAAAATCGACGGCGCTATGGTGTGGGGCCACAACGGCAGAACTTATTTCTTCAGCGGCTCCATGTATTGGAGGTGATTGAAATATGATTCTTATATCTTCTTTTTGTCTATAAATTATTAATTATTGCAGTCTTAAACTTCCAACTTTCAACCATCTAAAGTTAAATAAAAAATAATATTAATTTAGAATAAAACATGTTTCAATTTTCATTTACAATTTTCAGACACATAATGAAATTTGTGTCAATTGATATTTGCAATCCGATTTGCATTTTATATATATTTTTTAATCCTTAAATAATATTTAATATTATTATTATAAATAATATTCTCCAATTTAATCCTATCTTTACTCCATGCAGGTTCGACGAATCTGTTAATTATGTGGAACTTGATTATCCCAGGGACATGAGCATGTTCGCCGGCGTCGGAAATGACATCGACGCCGTTTTCCAGTGGAAAAATGGTAAATTTCGAAAAACAACATTGCCGATCAAAATCCCTTTGTCAGAAAGAAATAATTGCTTAAATATTACTCTATTAAAATAATTATCCTATTATACGAATAAATTTAATTTAACTTTTAATATCAAATGTGATATATTTTTAATGAAAATAGTATATTTTCTCATTGTGCAAAAAAGAAATTTTAGGCAACTACATAATGTTCCTTGATATTTTATTCATTTTTAATTTTTTTGTAAATAATCTCTTTGTAAATAATTCTCTATGTAAAATTTGTTTAGCTCTCTATATATTGTTTAGCTCTCTATAATTCTTCCTTTTTTTACGACAGGCAAGACGTATTTCTTCAAAGGCAAAGGTTTCTGGGAATTTGACGATCTTAGGATGAGGGTGGCACATGAGAAGCAGAAATTGTCGGCACCAGTCTGGATGGGTTGTCCGCCACCGGACGTGGAGACGAACGACATTGAGACCAACCTGCCCAGGAAGTCGAGAATTATCTCCGCTTCCGCCACTGTTGTCACAGGAGAAATTATGCCGATATTTGCCATGGTTGTTGCGAGCTTTGTCACAAGGATAATGTACGTGTAAAAACAAGGTAATTATTTATTGTCATTGTAATATTCATTTTTTTAGTAGCAAATATAAATATAGTTTCAAAAAGTATGTATGATAATAAAATAATATTTAATATTAAATATTAACATCAGCATTTAAAGCAGACGATAAAATAATAATAATGAGATGCAGAATTTAATTTTTAATAATTTTTAATAATAATTGTAAATATTATATGTAAATTGTCAATTGTCAACAAAATCAGAGATATAATTATGAAGTAATTATACGTAATTCCATTTATATATAAAATTTTGTAAACTTATATAGTTTGAAATTTTTTAATTTAATAACTAAATTTTGAATGCCTTTAAATCAAGAATTTGAAAATAAAAGAACTATTATTATATTCTTCTGCCTTTTTGTGCTTTCAGATTATAAATTGAATCTTGTCCTTCCAGCTGACGATGTACGACGGGAAGAATTTTGTACCTCACCTAAGAATTTTGCGTGCGAAATACGAATATCAGAAAATCAATCGGATTTTTAAAGTGAGGACATCGACGGATTGGCGAACACAAGGGATGGAAGACCGTTCGTATATCGACGGTCTGGAATTTCAAAGGAATACCTGTGGCACTCACATCTACGGAATCGACTTCGTCGCCGAGCCTTCCGATGAAGAAATCTCGATTACAGTTCGAAGTTCTAAAGAAGATATCGAACTAAGTCACGAAGCCATATCTTCAACGAAAATATATTTTATGATGATGAATCATATAATGCTGAGATATATTACGAAGGCAGAACATTTTCTTCTATACATTTTTTACTTCTATTTTCTATTTCGATATACTACAAAACTATTGACTTAATTTTGTAAGAGATATGTGACTTAGGTCTATATCATCAATCTCAGAAAGACCACTGCGCTGAAAAGCATATTTTTGTATACTGCCTTTTACACGATCGCATTTATGTGCAAAGCAATTAACTTAAGATGTAATTTTTATATATCGCATAACAAACAAATGATCAATCCTCGTAAAGATTAAAAAAAAAAACAATAGAGAGAAAGATTTCTTGAGGATATCATAATTTTGCGATATCAATTTATAAACTACCACTGCCGAAAATCCATCCAACGTTTTTTCAATACTCCTTTTACAAAGATTTTTTAATTGAAATAAGAATTCTCGTCACATACATTCTTTCCAAGGATTAAGCGTCAACAAGAAATTCCGCGATCGTCCTGTTGTAAATTGCGACACGATTATTCGTAGTCGCAATCAAATTGACAATCTCTAAACGATAAAATAGTCGATTCCAAGAGCCGTATTTTATATAAATATTAATTATTGATATCGTATAATACTTAGCAGAAGAGGACACGGGCAAAATGCAGTGTCGCCAGTTTTATAAACTGTGATATTTATATACCGCGCGCGATCAAGTAGTTAGTGTAATATCAAAGAAATAGAGTCAAATTTATATACAATACTGGTGTATTCAAGATGCTTACCTGCGGTCGTATTTTCTGATTTGTTTTAGGTCGATTTTCTATCAGCATAAAACACCAATGGATTTTTAAATTACAAATGAATAAAAAACCTCAAGATTGCAAATTAAATAACGAAATCTTATTTCGCATTTAATTTCGAATTTCAATTCAGACAGAATTTTTAAATCGAAATCTTCAATAATTGAGATGCTAATTTAAAAAATTAAAATGTAAAGAAAGGAAAGTAGAGACTATTTAAATTTTTGCGAAAGAGAAATTGGCTGCGATTTTAATATCGCGATATGTCTCTACAAAGTTTTTAATGTATTTCTCCAACATACATTACGTATATATATATATATATATATATATATATATATATATATATATATATGTATGTATAGAATTCTAAGTATAAGCCAAACATTTCTGCATAGACAGAAATACCTGATATTTATACAATTGCGAATTAATATTTATTGTAGCTTATCATGTATAATTAGACTATGCTTAATTTATTTGATAGATAAATAAAAGAGAGTTTACGCATATAATATATTGGAAAGCAAAAATATTTTAACATTACTTTTAATACGCAATTATCGTTAATACCCATAAATTGTAGACGTTGGAGTGTTTTATCGTGCATTGGGAAATGCATAGAGCACACATTGCGAACTCACCTAGCCTCTACTGCCATTATCTTATCTTTACAATAATTTAAGACTGTATGCGTTATTTCTCTGTAACTTCATATTTCTAGCAGGTATATAAGACGCATCACTTTTAATTCTGCGAATAATCTCTAGTCGTCATCTTAGAAGAGATTTATCTCGCAAGAGAATAAATTACATAGATTTCTATACCTATTACTACACATTACAACACACATGGCTCTATATCTTCTTTTTGTGTATTTCATATTGATGACACTGATGGGGGAGGAACCTGTCTCTCAAAATTTAAAAATATCTTCCATCTGAATATCTACCTAATTATCTATTCTCCGTTATCTTTGCTCCGAAATCTGCCAACCGAAACATCAGTCGCTGAGCGTCACTCGAAGTTGCAAGTATGTAAACAGATTCTCGCGCAACCTGTTCAACACTGACGCTCATTTACGCTCATTCCCATCGTCCGCACACTTCCTTACAGCCGGGACACGCAGCCTCACGCTGTCACGTCGCCGCCTACGCAGTCGATCGGCAACCTCGACGCGTTCTCCAACAATCTCTCAGCCCACTCGCGAGCTCGAGCTCCTCCAACTCCAGGTGGCGTATCGGTGCTCACCTGCCAGCATAATTTTTACCTGCGTACCACCGGATAGGGGACCAGCCCGACCAATCGGCGTGCCGACCCTGGGGCCCTATACGCTCGGCGCCCGGCGTTCCATCTCTCCAGGGAAGGTACGCTTCGAATAGCTCGCTCAGCTCGAAATTCAGTTCAGTTCAGAAATTCTGCCGTACGCGATAAACGATACGTGAACCGATCTCCTGTTTGCGCATATTGCGCCGCGTGATCGTGCGCTTGTGGATCGTGGTTTTTTTTTTCTTTATTGAACCATCGGAACCGCCAGTGCCGCCATACCAGGTGAGTGTTCGCCGCGACGCTCAGGATGTCTCTTGAGCTTGGCTTACGACGCAAAATCGAATGATCGGAGTAACGCGATCGGTCACTCCGTCAAGATGGCTTCAACCTCGCTCGAGCTCACCGAGGAATCTTCGACACGCCAAGTTTAAACGTGAACGCTGATCGTTTTGTTACCGGAAAATGTTATCTTATCATCATGAGCCATTTTCATATATTGCGTCGTGCGCGATCTTCATGATATCTTATTATATACTTCCCGATTCTTTCATTTAAAAGCTTCTTTTATTAAAAAGTTAGTCGTATTTAGATAGTTTATGATCCATTCCAATCGTAGCGACAATTTTCCTCAACTTTTTTCCTTATTTGAAATTACAAAATTTGTTTTTTTCCACATTTATTTGCAACTGTTAATACATTCACAGATCAACATATAAACTGATATATCTGTATATTCTTTGAAGTCTCTCTTGACAAATCGTTGACGCATGCGTCAATAGGTGTTTGAGGAATCTACTGGAATCCGTGTTTTCTTACTAGTTATTTTTTTTTTAATATTAATACAAAAACCTGATAACTTTACGTAAGCAAATTACTTAGAATGTCACAAATGTCAGATGCAACTAATGTGACAAGAAAAATTGAAGATTTATATTTTCGGAATTATCGCTTTTTAATATGAAGCTAGTTAAATG